GGCTTCAAGGGGTGCTGGAACCATAGTAAAAAAGAGTTGCAGCATGATTCAAGCATAGAGCACCTACCAACCTTGCGGTTCAATCATTATGCAGATGTTGTTTTGGTTTGGATTAAGTGGGAAGCGACATGTGGTGAATCGGGGTTGGGATTGGAGTCTTGTCCCATTTCAATCTGATCCTCCATCTCCATGTTAACTTAAAACGCCAAAAGTGAACACCCTACGTTCTTGAACCCATATGGTTGAGTTTCCTACCCCATGTTTCACTCTTTGTCTACTAGGAAAGAATCGGAACATCATCAATCTTTGTTCACACCCGGTTTCAGAGTGTATTTCAACTGCTGTTGGAGTGAGACTTGCACCCGTAGGTTGGTGCGAGAAGTCACTGGTTTACCAGTTCCTGAGCAGATGATCCTGTTGCCTCTAGGCCCTTTGAGGATTCATATTCAAGCAATGCTTATGTGTGCCATAGACAATTGGCCATCGGATGGCCGGCCACGGCCACAAGCCGATGATCAGCGCCCGTGATCCTCTCACTGGCTGGGAGTGCCCATGAACCACCCCAAGTTGGGAACTCCTGTGGATGTGTTTCTTACTGAGCATCCAATGACCAAACAGCTGGAAGAACTCAATTCTAACCATTTGCCGGGAATGTTATGGAAAGAAGAAGGGATGCAAACAAAAGACGTCACACCGTCACACACACATATTATATATATATCATATATGTGGATTGACACCATCAATAAAGCATGGAGCATTCACAGGTTCTTGGCTAGTCCAGATAGTAATTTGAGACACAGCTGAGGCTTCCGGGCCGAGCCTGCCTCAGCTTTGTGCGATAGGTGGGGACGCCAGCGGAGACAGACCCACTGCTGATCTAGTTCCACACCAAAACGGATGGTTTGTTGGGTCAGTCTTCCCCTTTTGGAGGACACTGAGTTTGTCGATTCTGTTTGTTTCGCCAGGGGAAGCTTTTCGACTGGCTCCATAGCTTTTGAATGTCTACAAGTGGCACAGGACAGCAGCAAAAGCCGGGATCAGTGACCGTCCAACCGACTTGTTTGAAACCAAATTTCTTAGATTTCTTCAATCTTGATGCTGGACCGGATTCATGAATTATCCATCGCACTTCCATCCATTTAGGGGTCTGGGCCGGATGCCCGATGCGAAGCTCCTGGATACAAATGCGAAGCTCTCATTCATCGTTGAGCGAGATAGGATTCCCTAGAATCAGATCAGAATCCATGACCCCTCTGAGCTTTTTAGGGTTGTCTTCGGCTCATGTGAAGCGTTTTCATGCGAGCCATGGCCATGGCCCCCTTATAAAGACGAGTTTAAGTGAAGAAGGAGGCCATTCATGATCCAGATGAACGTCTTCGGTGTATGTGTGTTTTTCTTTGGTTATATAACACTTAATGAATCAATGGGCACACACTCTCTCTCTATATATATGTATATATTATAGTATGAGGAAGTGAGCGCACTAAATCTGTCGATTGTCCTTCTGCAATCTTCTGAGCGGTGCAGTCCCAGTACTCATGGTTAAGTTCGTTTGCTCGTGCTCATGAACGTATTTACTTTGAAAATACGGACGTTGTGCAGGATTCGCCCATCAAAAGCACGATGGAGCCTCACCGAAGACTGGTGATTTTGCACCCACCTGGGCCATCATCGGCCCTTTTTGGTGATTCCAATTTCTAAAAAGAAGAGAAAAGCCAACCTTTGAGTACTAACGAGACAACGGAAGCAATTACAGCAAGAAAGAGTGTACGAGTGACGAACTGCAATTTGCAACAGGTATCAACAAGTATTTCAAGCATATCTTCGGTCGTCGGTCCCCGATGGTTTTTGAGCTTTGGAAACTCCTTAAACCCTAGGCATGGATTACCAATGAGGATTCTCCTGTTCTTTGATCCTGGAATCCAATTCTGTGATAATAACGAAACTCAACAAACCCTGATGACCTACTCCACTCATCACAGTTGACAGACATTATCATTAACTTGCTCAGTGGGGTGGCTGCTTGGCAATTACCACCCACTGGCACTAGCCGACTGTGGGTATCCACTCGCTAGGACTGTTTGGCGCCAAGCTCTGCCTTCTTGCTGGGGCTGGGCTATGTGGCTGCACCCGGGCAGCTCTGTGCCAATTCAGCGGCCGAGAGCGTACCACATAGCGAGGACAGGGGAACAGGCTCCGGACAGGCTTGGCTCTCGGCTCACGACATTGGATCAAGTGAAAGATGAAGAACATTGGTGAGATCAACAGATCCAGAGGACAACACGGATATGATATGTTCATTTGGGAGGTGTTAACCAGGAGTTTTGCGGGTGTTGAATGCAGTGTTGAAGTCAATCTTATGTGTGTGGTCACGGTCAGAAATCCAAGTGTTGAGGGCCATAGGTCATAGGTTTGATTACTCATCATATTTGTTGGAAGCTTTCTGATTGCACTATACAGGTCAGCAATCAGCCACTGACAATTGTGTGAATGACCTGGCTGGACACAAGAAGGTGCACTCTCGTATGACTGCTTGTCAGGGTGTTCATGTCATGTTGACCTTTTTGGGGTCGAAGACTGCCCTACCAATCCCAAGAATGTTCAGCTGGTTTGCTGCAACAGTTTGATCGTTTGTTGGGCAGGGTTCCGAAGTTTGCAGCTGCCGGTAGTGTCACATGCAGCATTTGTTGACATTCGCAGGACTGCCAAAGTCAATGCCCAAGACCTGGCTATACACCAACTCCCAGGTTTTTGAGGCTCAGCTGCACCCGGGCTAGACACGTTTTTCTTGGACATAGTGGGGTTTGTAAGGCATTGACCATGCTTACTGCATTTATTAAAAATCCTTTACAGCAAGTGGACTTAGTATCAGTCGATACCGCCTATATAGATCGATCAGATACTGTATTGTTCTAGCACTTTGGCTCTCTAGGCATTCTTGATGACCCGCTGAGCCCAAGTTCAAATCATATTGTTTTTGATTCTGTCCTCACATCAATTACGAAAAGGACTCAGAATGAAGTGGTTCTCTTCTCAGGCTAGATGTCAGGGTGTAGCCATGGGCCCATGGGTGCAGATGAAAAACAAATCCAATTCATATCACCATGCAAGGGCAACACCGCAGCACTCAACCCGCAGTCGAGGTCTTGCTCGGACGGAACATTGACACCGGAGCGGTTCACCTGTGGGAAGAGTTGCTCCGCGGAGCCCTTGCAGGAATCCTGTCCCAGTCAGCATCAGCATCAGTCTATGGTTGCAAGATGGTTTGAACAAAATCTTGGATTTGTGTCCAGTTACGTCTACAGTAATTACTTTTGGCATACCGTACTAATATATACACTATACACATATTATCAGTACAGGCATTTCTTTTCCGGTTCGGCATCTTTGGCCCTTGTTGAATGTCACACTTTGATTCATAGCTCCAGTGAAGGAACATAATTTTCAGAGAGTGACTCGCCGAATGATTACTTAGCACTTGACTCGGAATGGAATAAAATTCCGGAACAACATCAGGTACATGAACCACCATGACACAAACCAACGGACCACAGCAAACAATCAACAGTTAAAACAACAGCAGGTACGTTTACACCTCCCTGGTGCGCAGTCTTCAGTGGCCAGGACGCGCACCACAGAGTCCTGGCCCCCTACTGTGCGAATTCCGGTGAGAACTCCGAGAAACGGAGGTGGACACAGTTAGATAATGGGTTTGCAGTTACACATCTATTAAAGAGTGGCTCAACGGAAAGGTGAAGCGCCCAAATACTTGAAGGTGTTTCAACAAATGGCTTGTGCACATCTGCAGCTCACGAAGCGGCGGTTTAAACAGTTGTTAAAAATGCAGGTACGTTTACAAGGGTCCCAGAGGAGGTCTTCGTTGGCCACCGCTGCTCTGGGACCCCGGTGGCCCCCTGCTTGCAGAAAACTCTTAGAAACAGAGGGTGACACACACACACACCCGGCCGCTTTGCGGCGCTCTCGCGCAAAGCCTGAATAGGCACCTAAAAAGCCTTAGAAACGAGAGAAAGAAAAGCAGAAAGAGCAGCACTAAAAGGGCAGGAGAGAAAGATAGGGGTAGCAAAAAGTGACTACTTAGCCCTTGACTGGGGTAGTGAAACGAGCCTCAAGAACCACCTAAAAAGCTTGAAAGAAAGCCCAAGAAACGACGAAAAACGTAAAAAAGAAGTGGGGGGGCAGGGAGGGGATGTATGATGATGTATATGATGATGTATGTACATGTGTGTGTCCGTGTGTGTGTCTTTGAAAACCTAGCGCTCTAGAGTTACTGATTACTTAGCGGAAGCTAATTAGGTGCAATAGTTAGGGAGCGGGACTTTAGTCTTAAACCGTCCGGGTAGAGTAGACTAGAACAGGGACAACAGAGGGAAAGGCACCGACACACAAGTGTGTCGAGTACCATTTCCCTCTGTTACCCCAATTAGAGGGGGGTGGGGGGGGGTTGGGTTCTAAAACTCGGCGGGGTTTCATTCTCCGTAGCTCGGCAGCATACCTAGAACCACCTGGTGGACGAAAAAAGTGCCGCCATCCATTGTGGCAAAAATTTTTGCCGACATTTGGGAAAATCGCCGCCAACCAAAAAAAACAGCCACTGAAAGAAAAAATAGCCGCCATCCATGTACAGGAAGGATGATGCATTGGAAGGACAGTTGCGTTACAACACCGGTGTCTCGTCCATACTAGGCTCAAGGATACCCTCAGCTAGATTCCCCCAAATGACACTATGGTAAACACCAATCCCCCACACTCACCGCCACGATCACAATCCCAAATCCTTGACCGCTCCACCAGTCCCATCACAAGATTGGGTGCGTGCGGGCATCACCCGGCCATGGATCGGATGAACCGCCTGAAGTGAAGTCAGGGCCTCAGATCCTAAAAGCGTGTGAGGTTTTGAGGATTGTCCCCGTGCGTGTCCCACACCCACGAATCTTGCAAGCATTTTCCTGCGTTCCTTCTCATGCGTCGCAACAGTGTCAAGCGTTCCTCCTCATGCGTCGCAACAGGGCACGCTTCTTCAGGAAGTATCGGCACAGAACACGCTGTGTGATCGTACGCACACTCACCTTCCTGGCCAGCCGAGAAACATGTCCCATCGTGTCCTCGTTCTGTTCGCACCCCCAGCACAAAGGATTCAAGATCAGTGCATTGCCCTTCTGCAACTGATGCCTCACTTCATGCGCCAAGTGTGCCAAAGCGTGCATCTTTGGCTTCAAGGCCCAACCAGCCATGTTCATGGCCAGTGCCTCTGCAGCCAGCAGCTTGTACCCTCGCAGCAAGAGAAACAACCGAGCATAGAGGTGCTTGGAGCAAGTTCTGCTCATCCAAAGCGCATGCCCGTAAAGAACTTTGAACACATCGAGGGACTGATCTGCCGTGTGCTTGAACAACTTGAGAAGACGCTCGTACTCTCTGGACACATCCGTCGGAACAGCCAGGTGCAAGCTGACAAACCAGCGAAGCCATTGCGTCAGAAGCACGCAATCCGATCCTTTGCAGTTGGCCCATGGGCTATCAGCGAATGTTTTCATCGAGAAAAACGCTTTCTTGAACGAGCGAAGTCCGGGTGACTTGTGGTTGGTCAAGGACCACAAACGGAAGCTTGAGTGGGCCCGCTCTAACCTGCTATCAATATCAAGAGCATCACCTTCTGAGTCAAACAGGCCAATGCGGCAAAAAATAACTACAGCGCTGCCAACCAAATCCCTTCCAAGCCCTACTTTCCACAGATGGAAAGCATCTAGCTTCAGCAAGTGTTCAGGTTTGCTCTCATCAAAGTGCACATTGGTCAAGTATGGCCTGGATGACCATGGCCGCGCTTGGAACAAAGTCGAAGCCCATCTGGGTTCGTGCTCGAACTGCTCAAAAGGAATGCCCGGCGCGCCCGCCAAGCATAGCGAGCACATGTAGTTACCGTAGGTGGAGCCAATGCTACTGTAAGAGCGCTCAAGATTCCCAACCGCCGCTTGGTGTTTGAAGTCGCCTTTGTTTCCAATCACACAAGCATACCACTGCACGCCACCAACGTTGACACCTGTATTGAAGAGATCAACAAGATCATCCACCACAAGCTGTATATGTTTTTGCTCCACAGCTGGCACCTCCTTGTACTTTGCAGAAGGTAAGCCGAACAAAACATGCCGTGTCAAAAAGGAATGACCTTTGTTGTTCGTGGCTTGCATGCAGGCTCGGTGGAACTCTTCAGGTGTGGCAGTAGTAGTGGGGACATGATCTGGACCCCCAATGAAGTCTCCACACTCCCTCAACTCATCTTTGCAAGTGCAAACAGTCGTTGACGGCGCTTCTTTCACACCAAAGGGGCTTTCAATGGACCAAATAAGGAATTCACCACGCTTGGGCCCCCGACCCTCGTCCCCAAAAAGACACAGGGGCAGCACTTTGTCAAGGCGTCCAACGTTGGGCGAGGAAAACAGCTCGTGTTCCGGATGAAAGGATCGATACATAGCCCAAAACGATTTGAGTTGCAAACTGATGTCCCTTGGGCGTCGACAGCCCCCAGTTAGAGTCTCGGGGTGCAGCCTCATGAGCTCCCGAACCCAGGAAGACGGCCTCACCCAGTGAGTTGGCAATACATTGTTTCCATCCATGTGCTCCACAAGCTCAATTTCTACAGGCATAGACATGCCCCAACGAAAAAACTTTCCATACAAATCTCTTTCGTCGTTGGCGCTGCTCTTTTCAATTCCCTGCGCAGCACGTAGCATTTTGCCAGTTCGGCTGGCAGTTGCCTCAGTTTGGTTGCTTGCGCTTCCCCTTCCCCTTCCCCTTCCCCAAAACAAGACACCTCAACAAACTCTGAGACTGTCTTGGGAGGGAACTTTATCCTGTTTGATGTCTAAGTCTCAAAAAAACTTTGGCACGGTTTTGGGGGGGAACCTTCTCGTTTCAGGTCTAAGTTGAGCTGCCCCTTCGCCCATGCTTTCAGCTGCTTCTTCCATCAATCGATTGGTGGGGCATTCTCCTGGCATGGCTTGACTGTAGGTGAGTGTATATATTTTGGCGGGCAAAGATTTCAAGGGAAGTCTCACACCACTCAAAACATTTTGCTGGGATGGCTTGATTGTAAGTGAATGTACTCTTGGCGGGCAAAGGTTTCAAGCGAAGTCTCACAGCACTCAAAACATTTTGCTGGGATGGCTTGACTGGAAGTAGAAGTCTCGCAGCACTCGAAACAATGCATTTTTCGTTCAGACAGCTGTGTGGCGTGTGGAAGCCTAGAGCCCCACCCATAGGCATACACACACACATGTGCGTCTTGAAACAGTGACTCGCAAAATAGAGGGTTATACCTCTTTGAACCCAAAAACCATCAACATCTACTGCGCCTTTTTGGCACTTGGTGGAACAATCTCATCCGGCGCAGCAGCACGCTTCTTAGGCTCGGTCTTGGCCTTTGCTTTGGCGGACGCTTTGGCAGCCGATTTGGCGGCCGAGGCCTTGGCCTTGGCGGCCGCGCCCACCGGGCTCGAAGACGGTGCACCCTTCATAGCCAGCCTCAGCAGCCATGAACGGCTACCAAAGGTCAAATCTCATACTAAAGGGGGTTGATGCATTGATGCATGAAAGACTGGTGCAGTATGATTGTTTTTGTTTCTCTCCGCCTGTGTTCATGCATGGCCTTCCAACTATCACGAAGCACCCTTTGGATAGCCAACTGCTGCACCCAACAAAAGAGCTTTTCATTGTTGAGCCCCGGGCCCAATCCGAGAATCCAAGCAGACAGCTTCAATGGACCTGGGCGCCAAGTTGCCATTAAGACGCCTACACCTTTTCTTTCTAGCTCCAGATGATAGAACATTGAAGGGTTTCTACTTGGTTTGATTTATCACGTTCGTTTCATTTATTCACTCCAGGGTCTCTTAAAGCCGGTCGAGGCACGCCCTCCTAGCACTGGCAAATCTGGTGCGAAAGTCCTTCTGGCACCTGGGATTTGCAGCGATGAAAGAATCACATATATATAAGTATATAAAGAAACCATTCTCCACCCCCCGGCTCTTACACAATGACAAAGCTTTTGTGGATGAAGACGAGGGGCCCTTTTGTGAATCCCTCCACCAAACCTTTGCTATAGGACTCCATGATTTTTTCATCATGCTCGCTAAGCTCGGCCGAGAGGGACTCCACTTTCTCGAGGAGCCTTGATGCTTGAGGAAGCAAAAGTATTCGCTGGAAGGAAGAGGGCTGGTTCGGGCAACAAGGTCTATAGACACCCCAACAAAAGCACCACCCTCCAAAAAGATGCTTTGACAATTGGGAGGGACCTATGGTTTACCGAAGAACAACCTTTTTGGAGGGTGTCAGAACCTGGTGTTTTGTTTTTAACAAGATTCTTTTGCTGCGTTGGGTTCCTGCTTCCCACTTCCACTTTGGAGAGACGCTCCTTATGGAAAGCCAACCGTGCAACCCTTTTCTGGATAGCTTTGCTGACCTTGGTCACTAGTGAAGACGGCTGAAGGTCTGCCCGCTCGATCTCAGGTGGAAAGTTCACCTGCTTGAGAATCTTCTGCTGCTGTTCATCCTCTCCACCGGAAGAATCGAGGTCCTCATCGCAGCCGGGCCTGTCCTCATCGCACTCACCTGGGAATTTGATATCGTCGAGTCACGCGAGGTTGCGTAAGGCCATCCGGAAGTTTAAAGGTAGAGCCGTGACTGTTGTTCATTGGCCATGCAAGCCCATGATTTAGTGTAAATCCTGACCGCCAACTCTAACCTTTCCACCTGTGGGTTCTTTCCACCTGTGGGTTCTAATCTTTACACCTGTTATAGGCTAGGCACCTCCTGCATCGATGTTGGTCATCGTGCAGTCTTGGTCAATCGCACCGACCCGACCACCGACACGAGGGACTTCAGTGTCAGAGGCTTCCTCCTCAAAGGCTTTCTCATAGATGCTGCGTTGTGTTCTCCTTGGGGTCATTCAGCTGAGTTTTTGGAGAACTATTTATACAATCCACAGCTCAGCCCACGAAGAGAACAAAGCCAAGAATCTTCCGCTGCCCCTTCTGAGAAACAAGCGCCCAGTACAAGGTGCCTTCACCATATTCGCTCTTCCTTGCGAGCGGTTGCTGCGCATAACCTTTAAAGTTTTGCAGGATGAATAAACCACTGGCCACCAGTCTGATATCAAAAAAGTCAGGGGTTGGTTGAGCCCTTGTCCAAAGATTTGAAGATGGAAAAAGAGAAGCAAATCGTGCATGGGTGTTTTTGTGGTGCATGCTGAAGGACGAACGGGTAGTGGTCTGATCTTTTGCGGTTGTGACCATGACCTTTGGCATCCAGAAGCTGATGCCACTTCAATGTTCATGTATGAATGCCCCCAACTTAGCCATAAAAACCTTTTGAACAACCCTTAGTCCATAGGTATTGGTGGACGTCCAGGGGTCGGCGTCCTCCCCGTTTTGGGCGTCCAGGGGTAGGCACCCTTAATTTGTGGATCTAGCAAATCAGTACTCCAGTGCTCGATACTTCCAGCTCACGCCTCGTAAAGCCAGGCTTTCCTTCGCAGTGCTTTTTTACACCTTGCCGTTTGCGCCTCAGCCAAGCTTGGTTGGAGGGCTCGAACCAAGCGAGCTTGAGCCAAGAGGGGATGTTGAGGTTTTGCCACCAGCAAAATAGGGGGAAGAAGAACCCAAAGTAGGCAGCGCACAAAACTGAAAAAGAAACAAGGTGCTCAGACCACTTGGCATCAATCATATCTTGCTCGGACATATATTCATAGTTTGCTTCACAAGTGAACTCATCGATGTTTTGGTAGATGCGCTTGACTTTGGCAATGAACCTTTCCTAATGGGAGTGGAGCCATGAGGAGTGTGAGAGTAAAAGGACCCACTTGTGGATTCAGGGAGCCTTTCATGGAGGACATCCACTCCGCTGCAAAGGTTATGCTACGATACCTAAAGGCAAGGTTTGCCAATACAGCTTTTCATAAGAACCCAAGGGACTTTACGCAGAACAGGTAAGAACTTGGCGTCCACTGTTTTTTGTTGGTTTGGGAGATGTACCCAAGAAGAAAGTAAGAAAGTCAACCCTTGGCCCTTGTCCGGATTGTTGCCGCACTTCTCGAACATTTTCTCCAGGTTGGACCGGCTCTCCTTATCCTTGAACTGATCCACGATGTCTTTTGGGACCTTGTACTCCCCCTTCGAGTTGGGCTCGCACACGCGGCGAAGTCGGGCTTTGGCTGCTGCGGGAGAAATATATTCAGGTGGCTGCTCTGGTGACCCTACTGCTTCCATGCCCTCTACCTCACCACTTTGGGGTGCTTCAGGTGGCACAGAAGTACTCCCAAGGGTTGACGGTGGTGTTTTTGCCTGCCCCAAAACACCTGCATCATCCAAAGGTGGAGCATTGTTGTTTGGTTCCCTGGAGTCCTGTTTCCCAGACTCAAAGTGAGGGATTGCTTGCTCTGGCTCCTCCTGCCTCTCAGCGCCCAAAAGCAAAGGCGAAGCTTGGACCTGTGTTGGCGGGATTTCCGAGTCCGACGGGAGACCAAGCTGATTGTCCGGGGGCGTGGGTGAGTCCTGCACGATCACTGGTTGATCACAAAGATGTCCACTAGGGCCAAGCTGATTGTCCGGGGGCATGGGGGTGTCCTGCAAGACCCGTGGATCATCACCACCAAGATATCCACGGGTTGCCTTAGATCACAAGGAAACCCTATTATAGAATCAAAAGCTATTGGGGCATTCAAACAACATGCCTCTTTAGCGAACTTTAGCGGAAATCATGCACAAGAGGGTTGGTGATGATTGCAATCAAAAATCATCTCCGTCTTCCTGCGCCACCGCAAGTGGCTTGGATCCTGATGCTGTAGTAGGGCAAGCCGGTTTCTTCCCTGTTCCTTTGCCCCTCCCAATACGAAGTGCCTGGGGGAAAGAGCAGTTGCCACGACCCCACTTATAAAACAAAAACAGCTTTGAAACTTCAGAACACAAACCATGCTAGAGGCGCCTGAAGCTTCTCCAACTCTTGTTGCATTTGGTTGTACAAGGGGTCGCTCTCCAAGGTCATGGTCGTGCTTCTAAGAACAGCGCAACCCCTTACAAGAGTCTCCGTGCTCATAGCTATACACCGGTGGGAGCCGAGAAGTCTTGCCAACAAGATCAAAGCTATGACTACTCAGTGTGTCCATGGTTACCAAATTCATCCCAAATCCGATTACGGAAATTTACGCCGCCAGTACGCATATTTACGCCGCCATTACGCCGATTTACGCCGACAAATTTTTCCCAAATTTCTCAAAACACATTGAAACGGTCTGATCTAATTTCAAATTTGGTTTGCAAGTGCTGAATGCTCCTCACTGACCCCTCTCTTTCAGGGAGACCAGGGAGCAACACGAAAACAAGTCAGGAAAAACTGTTTGGTACTCTGAAGGAACCACCAACAGCTTCGAAGACAAAACGTATTCTAAGCACTGCATCAATTGTGCATCATCCCAGCGGTCGCCTAATGGCATCGCCATTAGCACTTCACAAATTGGGGTGCGTTCATCAACCTTCAGGGTGTGACACAACACAAGCACACTTGGTGGCGTTGGTAGGTAAAACCAGTCTACTTTAACCACTGCCCCAACCCGAGCCAAGAACCTTTGGCAACTTCGGCCGAGACTTGAAGAGCGCTTTGCGGCACCGAAGAAGATGGCTGCAGAAAGAAGGAGTGTATACCCTGGGATGTGGTTTGGGTGTGGGAGCTCCAGAAACTTACTACACAGGAAAGGTGGCCATTAAGTTCCAATAAACATTCATGGTTCATGGATGGTTTGTTTCGCGGGGCTAGGGTTTAACGATTGGAATACGCACTAACTTTGTCAGGCTTGGCTATTACCAAATTTATTAGTTTTCATCAGTGTTGTCCTAGGAGTGGGCCAGTTTGTTTAAGAAACAATTACATCATCGAATTCTGTCGTGTCAGTGATGTATGGGGGGGTCGGTTAATCGTTGAGTTTCTTGTCGGTTTGTGCATTTGCTCCGTTTGTTCAGTGCCCACAGTGCCATAGGGGCAGCAGCATTGGACACAGCGACTGTCGCAGGATTACATGAAAGAGAAACAATTTATATATGGTGAATGTGGTGGACTTGTGAATAGTGTGAAGTGTGGACACAAGCTTAGGCTTAGGAGTACGCGGCGTCGCGGCGCGTACATTTTTTCTTTGCATTTCCCATCGCCCGCTGCCATGTTGGAAAAGCTAGAAGATGGTTTGATGGATCTGCGTGCAAGACTGGAGACACTGTACCCAGTTGTGATCACGCATGGTTCCGTGCCAGAGTTGGAGGCCTACGTGGGGGCCATGACTAGAATCAATAGCATGCTATCCATGTGCTTTGGCTCTGACAAGCTGGCTGGACAACATGTGCAACCTGTGCGTCTCAGCTTTCATGATTCAACTGTTGTTTTGAGTTTTGGATCGACGTAATGGGGATGTGTCAAAAGTTGGCAGTGATTATGATTATGAGTCAAAGGAAAATAATGATTCATTATTTTTGAACAAAAGATTGCGATTCAATCTTCCAACAAACAACTGTACAACGCTGGTCAACTGGAAATGGACATGGCCTGGCCATTGGCAGTACTTTGCAAGCAATGTCAGTGCAAACAATTAGTTCTTTCATTTTTGGGTGCCTAAGTCGGCCTAAGTCAATGCTTGCATTGGTCCTGGCTCAGGAGCAAAGGCGTCAATATGAAGTACAAACTGGCAGACCTTTACACTGCATTTCGGTTTGCACAGACTTTGCGAAATAGCGGCAGGACATGGTCATGGATGACCAAAACCACAAAACTGTTGACACACTAGAGTCACTAGAGGTGAGGTATCGAAAATACCAATTTGTTGCACTGAAATTAATGTTGTAAGTAAGTTGTAAGTTGCAGTTGTAATTGCAAAGTGCTGTGAATCTGTTAAAGTGTTTGTTGTCAGGATGAAGGTCAGCTTGGCAGCTGCAGCCGCAGTCCTGAACGATCATTCATTTGACAATGTGGGGAATCTGGATGACCAAGTGCCACAATGCCCATCTGGTGCCACCATCAGCACATGCCTTAGTTGTTACTAAAATATATCATTTGAATGATGCTTTGATGGTTTGTTGCTATGCCAGCATGTTGTGGGACACAGTTGGTTAATCGTGGTACATTGCGGTCCCACAGAAACTATCCACTTGTCACTTGACTTCTAACTGCACGCACTGTTTGTTTTGATCATCCAAACTCCAAACTCCAAAGATTCCGTAGTTCTTGATTGAGTCTTGAGCTACTTCTTTGTCGGTTGATCTCTTAGGTCGGACAAGGCTTCGTTTGGAAGTTGCCTTCCTGCAGATGCGGCAACGTACTTGGGAAAGACGAATGTCAGCAGCTGCACTGGAACCTGCTCCTGAAAGGCAGTGGTTCATCAATTTGAGTTTCTTCGCTGGCAATGGGGCTGATTGAGATGTGGATGCAAATGTGATTATAAGTAGAAGAGCTTCCACTAGGCTCAATAGTTCATGGCCAAAAGTTATTCATCAGATATTCATGCCAGTGTGAACTGGCTCGGTGTGTGATTGAAGCTCAAAGTACCGGTTAAAGTTTAGTGCTTTTTTGTTCCCCATTGAATGTCTCGGGCCAGTCTTGGGCTCAAGGTTTCGACAGCTCTCAGCTAAAGAAGGATCTCAGTCAACATTATGTATATATTTTGGTAGTTTTGTATTGTGCGTTGGTCTTTAACATGTCAGTGTGTGTGTCTGTGTGATGCTGAATTTTCCCAGTAGATGAAGTCTGTATGGGCTGTATGGGTTTCTCAGCCCCCAGTTTGTTTTCACGTAGCAATCGTTTTGCTTTACAGTGTCCTGGGGAGCTAGTCAGGATTGGTTCATGACTCTTGAGACTGCATCGGCTGGCTATTCTCTATTGGATTCCTTCAAGGATCGATTTGCTTTGCACAGTGCGGTTGTGCAGGAAGGGCTGCGAGACAAACTGTACCTACCAAGTTTTTTTGAGGAAAAGCTGAGCCTTTCAGACAGAATCCTTGCATTGGAAAATATTGAGAATGGCCAGGCTGGCCAGGATGGCATTGTCAAGCATGACTTCTCAAGTCAGCTACACGAGCTTACTAAGATGCATGGCCCCCATGAAGTTCATGAAGTCAATATTTTTCCACCCATTGTGCTAGGGGTGGGATATGGAAAGCTCAGACACAAGTTAGCTGCATTGCTACATCAATTCCGCCTTGAAGTTGGGAACAGCCCGAGGAGTCTACAACAATATTGCAGAAACGTCATTTCGATTTGTTCAGACCAAGGGACAGAGGCTGGTTTGTATTCTGCCCCTGACCTAGATTTTGAAGTTCACCTCAAGAACGAATCCCTGGCGCTCACAGATTCTTGTGGCAAGGCCGGAGAAGGCATCCTTGCTGATCTCCATGTTCCTGATTGTCCAGCTTCGCAAAATGATTTGGATCCTGTTATGTCTTTGGCGCTTGTGGCAAGACTGTTTCCGAACTGCTTATTTATTCCTGGCATTAAACATTCCATGGACAACTTGCTCAATGATACTTGGAACAGCATGGCCCACAAAACGGTGTTTTTGACCCAACTGAAGGCGTTTGACTGGGTGCTTTCCCAGGATGGCCTGCGTGACAAAATGGCCTATCTCTTTTTCAGTGCTCCTGAAGATTTTGTTTTCTCAGAGCGATTGAAATATTGGAACTTGACTTTGAGATCTTTGCGATGGCATGCTGTGATTGCATTCATCCAAAAGCTCCGCCCTTTGGCAGAAGGGCTTCGGAGAAAATGGCGGATGCAAACATGGATGTCCCAAATGCCCGCAGAGCATCATGATGCAGAGGGACGTGGGCCGTAGGCTGCGTCCACCTACAAGACCTTGGACTCGGCCATTGGCAGTCCATTTTTCTGGTCTTACTCTGCGATGATGTTACACATATCAGAAGCAGCGGAGGTTCTTTCCCATTGGGCGGAGGGTTGTTGGTTCCACGGCTCTAGCTGTACGGAGCGTACATGCCCCTTCAAAGGGGCACGTTCTGCGGAGCTGGCTTCGGGCGCCGCCAAGTATCTACTCGAACACGTCCAATCCGAAGCCAATATTGCAGTGGCGCACGCAGCGTCATTTCTACGGCAAGACGAATGCCAGTACTTGACTTCAGACTTTCATACAGCCCAATCACGCCTTGCGATGGAATGGGAGTTTCGTTTACACTTCTGGGATTTGCTACCATGGCATCTGTGTGGTCTAGCCTGCCCCAACA